ATTTTAGAGAAACGTGCTCACTCTATATATTAATTTGGCTAGAACCATAGATCTTCATGATCAGATGTGGTATAAATTTATTTTTTAAATCTATTATATGCTTCAGGGAAGTGTTCTAATTTATATTCATGTATTTTTTCATGTTTCTTATTAGTGTTATTTCTTTGTTTCTATGTTTTTTATTGTTAGGTTTTTTTTTTTTCTTATGATGGAAGTCTCACCTTCTTCATTAGAGTTTCAAACTGGTTATTGTGGCATTTGGAAAATTCTTTTTATGCCTATTTATCCACCTTATTAGCACTAAAAGCTTTTGACTAAATTCTCTTGGATTTTCTTCATAACTTATATGAAAATATCGCAGTTTTTTCTTTGTTTTTCAAAAACTTTATCTGCATTCCTGTTTTACTGTCATTTAACTGCAATATCTAGAATCTCCTCTATATCACCGAAGATCATAAATGATACCAAACGTCTTCATCACATTCCTGACACTATTGAGAATGATTCTAACATATTAAGTAATTTGAAGCCAAAATTCAATGTAAAAATTCTAATTATAAATGCCTAATATATCAAAATTAAGCATGTTGTTTCTTATGGATATCTAGAAAATTTTATATTCATAGCAGGAAGTTTCATTTTCATAGAACTTTATTAGATAAACTGGTTGAAAAATTGATGATCAACATTATTTTTATCAAATGCATCAAAATCAATTACCATATATTTTTCTTTAATCTGTTACTGTAAAAAATTATAATAGGATATCTCCTAATGCTAAATTGCACTCACTCTTGGAACTAGAATTGGAATTTTTTGCATTTTTATTTATAAGTTAGGTTGTAAAAATAATTTCCATTCTCATGTATTATGTTCAAGTACTTTGGTACCTCAACTATATACCAGGACAATACTCATGAGAGAATATTGCCGAATATCATGGCATAGCTTATGTTTCATTTCTCAATTTTAGTTTTATAATCTTTTCTTTTTATATCCCCTTTCCCTCCAATAATTGGAAAACACTTTTGTTTGTATATCTGATTATTTATAAATGAACAACAAGTAGATTGTTTTTATAATTTAAATAAATGTTAATTTTATCTGTCTCTTTTATGTCTAAGTATTATGTTATGAATGATGATTATTATTCCTGTAACATTTTTCCACAACTCATTGTCTATTAAATATCCATGCAATCTAGTTTATTCTTTTTAGTGTTTCACAGCATTCCATTTTCTGCATTTATCATGTTTTATTTTATTCTGACACTATGTCATTGCCATCAGTTTGCACTATAAGTGGTGGTTCATAGAACACGATGAGGCACATGTTCAAAAGTATCCCTGTGACATATACCTAAAAATTGATTTTTTAAGTCGACTTACTACTTCATTTATTTACTTTTGAGAAATCATTTTAATTTACATTGTTCTAAAAGTCTTAATGGCTCTACTAAAGTATTTGACAAATAAAAAATTAAAAATCCATAGTACAGCGTAAAATGGCAAAGGCTATAAACAATAATCAAACAAAAAGATGTTCAACTTCACTTTTATTTTCGAATTAGGAATGTTTAGCTGTATACCATTGTCTAGAAAATGCCAAACTTAGTTGTTTAAAACAATAGTCCCTTTTTTCTTTTAATTTCAAGATTTCTATGTATCTGCCATGTGGTAACACATCAACTGGGTGCTTTCCTCTCAGTATAACCATAAATTTGCAGCCCAGCTATTAGCTTAATTATTAGTTATTTTAAAGTTTTACTTAGGAAGGATCTATTTCCAAGCGCATTCACCTACCAGTTGTCCAGAGCCTTCAGTCCTTGCCACAGGGACATCTCCATAAGGCTGCTCACAATTTGCAGCTGGAAGCCCTCAGTTAGAATGAGTTGTGATCCAGACACTGCACCATCAGAGAGCATCCAAGACAGAGACTCCACTCCAGTGTTTTGTAAGTAAATCTCAGAATTAATTCTGCTGCATTATTCTTGCCACACAGACCAACTATGGATCTAGGGTGATCAACTGTCTTGGTTTGCCTGAGACTGAGTGAGTTCTCGGTTTTAAAATTTTAGATTTTAAAATTAGGTAAATTTCATGCATATGTCAAAAGCTGTTCACCTTAGCTGATGCCATGTAGAAGGAGATGATAGAGGTCATAACTGTAACGAGGAGGATGTCATTGGGTATTCTCAGGGAGACTGGCATCACAAGGTCATAGATTACTCCCATATACAGTTTAAAAATTATTTCCAGATTACTGTCCAGAATTTATTATACTCCCACTGATTGCTCATGATCCATATGTTTCGTTTTCCTCAAGTCCTCTCAAAAACTATCATACATCTGAATTTCTATTTATTAAACTTTAATCTCACTTTATTCTTTTTATTTATTATCAATACATTCTGGGAGAAGTTCTTAATATTCTAGTGTAAAAATTCATTCTTCATTTGTGTATTTCTGCTGTTCAGACATTCTTTTGCATAAGGATGTATCAAAACTTAAATTCTGCCTTTTGTCAATGCATAATATGTAAACTATTTTATCATAATCTAGAATTACAAACCATATGGTCTCAATATCAGCAAGTAAGTGAAGTGAGCCTTGCACATCCATATAAGGAAAACAAATATTGAAAATATATAAAGTGAGGTTTCATCCCAGCAAGAAAAAGTAAAAGAATAAGCCCAAATAAACAAAAGGGAAACATGATAGAAGTAATAGAAGAAATCAGTGAGTTGAATCTCTGTTACAAAGAGTGAGAGAGAAGAGAAGAAAAGGAATAGATAGGCAAGGTTTAACAAAAATGAAAAGTTTGGTTTTGTTTGTTATATTTCATTCACTTGTAAATCTGTTTTACTTCAAAAAACATGGAAACCATTCTGTTAAGTTTAACTTGAGTTCTTTTATTTTCTATGTTTCTCTATGAATGTGGATCCCCCACATTTTATGTCTATGTCCCACCTCTGGGTGTATGTTCTACCTCTGGGTATTTTTATGTCTATGTCCCCAACTTAGTCTCCTCCCACATGTACCAGTGCATTAAAAGTTCTCTGTTCTTCTATCTATCTAGTAATCAATGTCCATCAATTCATCATCTATCAACTGTGTGAGTTGGGGTTATGCACTGAACAGAATTTGAATCCCCAAACTCATGCAGCTGTTTCAAATCTGAAGTCTTAATGTTGAGAGTTGACAGATTAAGAGTGGAGACTTGTTCTAATCATGGTATCTGAGAGGTGGGTCTGTTGGGAGGTCTTTAGGTCACTGGTAGTTCTCATAAGAGGGTTGATTATTGAAGTTGTGTTTGCCCTGGCTTCTCTGTGTTTCCTCGCTCATCATTTAATTTTTCTCCACACCTGCTGCATCATGGCAGACTCCAACATAGGACAAACTAACAGGGCCACCCAATTCTGAACTGTGAACCTTCAAACCACAAGCCAAAATAAACATTTTCCTTCCCAGCAAGGTCCTCTCAGGTCTTAAAGTAAGGAAGAGCTGACTAATAAAGGCTGAGCATATAGCCAGAAGTAGGAAAGTAGAATTTCTGAATCACAGGTATTTCTGCCCTGAGTTTGCACATTCAGTGCCACACTGATTTCTGTAAGGGCCACCCAGACTGCATTCCCCTCAGCAGTGCTTGGATTCCCATCTCTCCTTATTATTGTCAGTACTTGGCATTGTCCAGATCTTGCCAGTCTGATAACTAAATAATAATGCCTCATTTTAAGTCAGCTTTTATTTCTGTAATTATTAATGATGTGGTATATCTCCCTACATGTTTCTAGCATTTTAGACATTGTAACATTTCTTGGTAAGATAGTAAATGGCGCATGATCCTGCTACAATTGATCAAGATAAAAGAGAAAATGAAAATAAATATAATACAGATTAGAAAGATGTAATAATGGGGGATAGAAAATTCTCAGATTTAAAAAAGAAAAAAACATTCTAAAAAAAGAAGGGAGGGAGAAGGGAGCAAAGAGAGAGGAAGGAAGGAAGGAGGGAGGGGAGGGAGGAAGGAAGGAAAGAAGAAAGGAAATCAGTTTGAAATTCCTCATTTTCTTTTTTTTAAGATTTATTTATTTATTTGAAAGTCAGAGTTACACAGAGAGAGGAGAGTCAGAGAGAGGTCTTCATCCACTGGTTCACTCCTTAGTTGACTGCAACAGTCAGAGCTGCACCAATCTGAAATCAGGAGCCAAGAGCTTCTTCCGGGTCTCCCATGTGGGTGCAGGGGTCCAAGGACTTGGGCCATCTTCTACTGCTTTCCCAGGCCATAGCAGAGAGCTGGATTGGAAGTGGAGCAGCCGGGACTCAAACCACTGCCCATATGGGATGCCAGCAGTGCAGGTGGCAACTTTACCTGCTATGCCACAGTGTCAGCCCCCTCAAATTCCTCATTTTCAACACCAGATACAAGCAGACAACGCAGCTACACACTCAATATTTAGAAGGAAAATTTCATGTGATTCTAGAATTCTGTCCTCCACCTAATCATCCTTCAGTTGTGAAGGCATTATAAAAAATAATTTTCCTAAATACAAATCCTGAAAAGATTCACTATTTCCATACCTTCTCTGAAAGCATTACTTCTGAGTGACTAGCTCATAGCTCCTGCTTGTATGCTTCCTCTACAGAAAGAAGTTTCTGTAGCTTCAGGGCATTCAATACAAGGTCCTTCACAGTAGTTGATTTTATTCCAAACAACTATATGCCTGGTCTCTCAGGTGAAGTAATACAGCTTAATCAAAAGTTTTTTGACTCTTCAACTGGCTACTTCAAAATCTGGCATTCACCTGCTTGGCATTCTGACGTCTTTGACTTGCCGAGTTAGTATCCTCGACTTGCGGAGTTAGTGTCCTCTACAAGTCCTGCTCTGAGCTGAGATCTTCCTTTGCAGTTTCCACACAGAGGTTGTCAATGAACTTTAATGGGAAAAAAAAAAAAAAACCAAAAAACAAAAAAACAAAAACAAAAAAAGAAAAACTGCTTTCCATTTGACCAAGTCAAAGGGAATTCTTTTGTGTAGGATTTCTCAGTCTCTATTAGTGTGCACATGTAAATTCTTTCCCTCATGAAAATAAAATGGCGATGCAAAGATAATCAGGTGGAATTGTACACAGAGCCCTTTAAGAGCTGGGAAGCATCCTGTAGGTTCAGAGCTTTGCAAATCACCGGAGAAAACTCTGTTCTGGATTTTCATGTCTTCTCCTTGACTCTTAGAGTGTATAATATTCAGTTTCAAAGCATTAAAGTTCCAAGCTTTGTTCCCCACTCAATTCTTATTAAACAGGTATTTACTGTATACATCCAATAAATGTTTTTCAATAAAATGATAAAAGTAGTCAAGGTATTCATTATTTAAAAAACGCTCTAGGAACGCATTTGAACTCGGTGGTAAGCCATTTGTTTCTATTTACTCTGTAGAGTGGTTTCACCCAGAAACTGACAGCTTCAAAAGGAAACAAAAACATTACCCTACTTTTAATTTGATGACACTGCCTATGCAGCGAAGTTCACTGAAGGCACCTCATCTTGTAAGTTTAGCAGAATCCCTCAGCCGCATTTGCTAGCTTTCTGTTGCAGAATTCGGTAGTTGTTGTCCTTAAGAAGCGTCAGGCCTAGCACATATCTGGGTTTAGGCTTTATCAGCAAACTGCATATTTATATGGGTTTATATTGCTTCCTTGTTTGAGTAACAAATGTACTTACATTTATTAAGTTGACCTAAATCAAGTTAAGATGTTCTATTTTTAAGAGGCAGAGTAGTTATTCTCTGTTGCTTCTCTTACTGTAAGTCTTCTCATCAACTTTCACATGATTTTTAAGAATGCTCATCTTTGTGTTGGTTAATGGATGCAAATAAATGTTTTAGTTGTCTCTAAAATGGAAAAATACAGACATTAGACTTTTATAAAATGGAAGGGATGTTGTGATATTCAGAGAGTGATTGTAATAAATTCTTTAGCTATCCGTCTGAAAAATAAAATTTACTAGTGGTGTGACTACCAAATTATCTATTTTTTAGTAATAACTAAAAAAAACCTTAAATTAATCAGCTTAAATTCATGAATTTGCTGTTTCTGAAATTTGTCTTACAATGCTCCCCTTTTTTTTAAACACTGGTAATCCTTGTTTCTCATCACCAGGGAGCAGGTAAGGTTTACAAACCTCTAGAATGAACCTCAAATGTTTTATTTTCGGAGTTTGCAAAGAATATTTTTCTTCCTGTGAGTTGTAAAAATATACACATTGCTACTCACTTCTCACGTTTCTATTGATAATGATTACACAAGGTAAATCACATAAAGTGCATAACTCTGCATGAACACTCTAGAATTATTACTTCTTCCACTTTTCAAACATCTATCAATAGTGTCTATTCTAAAAGAATATCTTGGTGAATTGTTTACCATTTATTTTTAAAAATAGCTTACTTTCTTACAAAGATTTCCTTGCATATTTTAAGCTTTCTCATTGCATTTTTTATTATTTGAATTGCATTTGGAAAAGAAATCTTCACATAAAGTACCTTTGTGTTTTCTCTTGCTTTCAATATGTTATTTGTAACATGACTTTAACATAAGTCATTTCAACCTTTCATTATATTTTATTTGCCATTTAAACAATCTCAGCATTCACAAAGGATCTAGAACCCTAACAACTGTGGCTTGAATTTTAAAATTATCTACTTTCAAATATCCTCACTTCTCTTCAGTTTAGGCATTTAAAGCCATTTTTTCAAGTCTTTCTTTACTGAAACAACTGAATGTTCACCAAAATATGCTATATCATGATAAATTAGAGTAGAAAAATTGCAACTAAGAAAGCTTCCCATTGGCTTACATACTATTGAATGAATGTGTTATTTACATGAGATCTTACAAAATGGTCAGGTATGGTGTTTTGAATTACACTGCCCAATTTCAATTTGATTCCTCTTACCAGTTAAAAACTTCATGCAGCAAAGACTCGCAGCTCCACTTGCAGAGACCGTCTTCTCCCCACTCTTTTCCAAAAAGAATTTCTGACACATGCAGCTGCTGGAATCTATGTGTGCATATAAAAGGGAATTGGGGTGAATAGGAGGAATAAGTAGAGTAATGGAAGGAGATGAGAGAAAAGCAATTGAAGAAAGCATTTTGGTTTAGAACCACATAAATTACTAAAAATGCATCACACTTTGTACTTGCAGTGAAATGAGGGATCATTTATGCTTTCCACACTCAAGTTAGATGGAAAAGCTAAATGAAGACATTTTCCTTTAGAAAAACCACAAATCATTTTTTCAAAGCATGAATTCATGAGTCTTTGTCACAATGTCTCTTTGTGACTGTTCAGTTTTCAGAATGGAAATCTGTAGAATGTCAGTTCCTTTTCAGGTGGAAGAAAAAAAATGACCACATGAAGCCTCTTCTAAAACATTCCACAAGCGCAGGCATTTTGAATAATTTTTCAAAGGAAAGTACCTCATTCTGAGTGAATAGCATGACATTCTGAACTGCATCTAACATAAGATTTTGCTTCGACAGGCCTGTCAATGCACCTTAGTTCCACTGTAATGAAATGAAAATCATGTGAGCTTGGGAGAAATCCCTTCCTCCCCCTGATGCTCTGTATTAGCTATGGACTTGCACTTGTTTTCACCATGGCAACAAGAGCGCTCAATAGAGTTAGCTCTCACCTTCTCTGCACAAGGTGAGCGAGAAAACAGCAACAAAGAAAAACGAAACAAATAAAAATTTCATGAAGCAAAGAGTTAAGGAAGCTATGAACAGAGGGCAGTGTGGCCATTTCAGACAAATTTTACTAAATGAGGTAACATGAACCAAAGAAAAGATTCAGTTTATACTTGATTAAATCTCGAAATGGGTGATTTAAGTGTCGGCTGGTCAACTGAAAAAGCAACTTAAATGGTTTCATTTTGCAGAAAGGTTAATGTCAGTGAAAAGCATAGATTGGCCAGTAATCTTGATATAAGGTGCTGAATTACTCATCTACACTATAATTAAAAAGTAGACATTGTTCCCAGCAGCAAACAAAATTATTTTAGTAATTTTTAAAGAATGAGGATTTGCACTGTGAGACATTTTAGCCATATTTTATTCTTCCAGAAAACAGAATTTTATTTAAAATGTCAGATATTCTACATTATGTTAAATTTACATTATTCAGGCCTGCGCTGCAGCTCACTTGGCTAATCTTCCGCCTGTGGTGCCGGCACCCCGGGTTCTAGCCCTGGTTGGGGCACTGGATTCTGTCCTGGTTGCTCCTCTCCCAGTCCAGCTCTCTGCTGTGGCCCGGGGAAGGCAGTGGAGGATGGCCCAAGTGCTTGGGCCCTACACCTGCATGGGAGACCAGGAGGAAGTACCTGGCTCCTGGCTTAGGATCGGCACAGCGCGCCGGCCGTTGTGGCAATTTGGGGAGTGAACCAACAGAAGGAAGACCTTTCTCTCTGTCTCTCTCTCTCTCACTGTCTAACTCTGCCTGTCAAAAAAAAAATTTACATTGTTCAACATATTTGAAGTCATTCACCTTGATATCCTGAGGTTTCTAATGGGTTGTCTCTCAATAGAACATGCTTGTACAGGCAAAACCACCACAAGTGGAGCTGATTGATCATTTTCTATTCAGGAAAAAGAAAAAAAACAATCACAACATAATTTCAGTGTGTCACCTGAGCTGCACTGCAAAAAATAATAAAAAATTAATACTTGGTAAATAGACATCAAATCATTGCATTACAGTCAGAAAGTCGAGATGTGGTGGAGGTGCGGAGCAAGTCAGGAAATTTGACCCATGTGTGATTTTCAGAATTAAAAAAGGAAGAAGAAACACAAATCTGACATCCATTTTAAATAAATGATAACTTACATTTGTTCATTACACACAGATAACTTTAGTATCCTGTTTTCTTTAAAAATGTTGATGGAGTGAGTGTTTAGCCTAGTAATTAAGATGTCTGCATCCCACATTGGAATTCCTGTATTCAATTCCCGGTTCTGGCTCAGTGCTCCAGCTTCCCAGCATTAGAGATGCTGGGAGGCAACAGTGATGGCTCAAGGAGCTGGGTTCTTGCCACCCACATGGCACACATATTGCAGGCACCTGGGGAGTGGGAGTTAATTGGAGAGTGAACCTGGATGGAAGCTTGTGCTCTCTCTCTCTCTCTCTCTCTCTCACACACACACACACATACACACACACACACACACTTTCTCTCCTAACTCCCTCCATCTAAAATAAATAAAAACTTTCTAAAAAGTTAGCATTCATGTTCAAACAAAAGATTCAAAAGAATGTATTAGAAATACAGAAATAGCAGACAGCATGTGGTGCAGTGGGTTAAGCTACCACCTGTGAAACCAGCATCCAACATGGGTACTGGTTTGTGTCCTGGTTGCTCCAATTCTGATCCAGCTTCCTGCTAATATGCCTGAGAATAGACTGTGGCTCAAGTGTTTGGGTCCTGACACCAAATAGGAGACCCTGATGGAGTTCTGGGCTACTGGCTTTGGCTTGGCATAGCAGGAGCCATTACAACCATTTGAGGAGTGAACTGGAGGATGAAAGATCTCTCCTTCTCTCTGTGAAACACTTCCATTCAAATAAATAAAATAAATTAATTTTTTAAAAATGTAGAAATAATTTGGGAGTACTTCTTGGGAAGATCATGGACTGAATACCCATGTAAATAACTGCCTTCCAGTAGCACAGCAAACTTAAATAAAATAACCAAAAATAATAAAAAGTAGTCAGACACAGATCTTGGTTAAACACTGAAGTCTGATTAATGGAGTGCCTGGATTCAATCCGCAGCTCTGACTTCTAATTACAACTTGGCTCAGTAATTGGATTCCTTCCACCATATGGAAACCCGGATTGAATTCCCAGCTCCTGCCTTTGGGCCCAGTAGAGCCCCAGTTTTTACAGGCATTTGGGAAGTGAACCAATAGATAGGAGTCCTCTGTGTCAGTCTCCTTCTCTTTCTCTCTCTCACTCTTTCCCTATATCCATCTCTCTCATTTTATCCCTCTTAAGTAAATAATTTTAAGAGTTATTTATTTGACTTAGACAGACAGAGAGAGAGAGAGAGAGAGAGAGATCTACCCCTCGCTGGATCACTCCCAGATGGCCACAACAAAACCTGGAGCCAGTGGCTTCGCCTGGTCTCCCACATCATCGGCAGGGGTCCAAGAACTTGGGCCACCTTCCACTTCTTTTCGCAGCCATTAACAAGGAGCCAGATTGGAAGTGGAGCATCCAGGAAACAAACTAGTGCCTATATGGGACACTGATATCACAGGAAGCAGTTTTACTCATTATGCCACAATGCCAGATCTGATAAATCATTTTTGAAATACAAAGACAGTTCCACCAATATTAATACATGCAATACTGTAAACATAAAAAAATTAGTTACAAGATATTTCATAATTTAGAGTGAAGTGAATGTGCACATTAAATGTCAGCACATATCTCCCATAAAGGAGAATTCAGTGTGGAATTTAGGGAGCTGGTAAAGAAAAGGGTACTAGCACTACTGTTTGTTCAGCCCTCACTACATGCCAGGCAACTTCTAAGTGCTTTACTAGCATCATTTTAATGATTTCACTCCCAGAGTTGGTGCTATGATCATGTTCATTTTATAGATGATGATACAAATGTCCTTGCCCAAAGTAACAAAGATGCAAAGTTAATAATTGAGTAAAATGGGATTTTTAAATTAGTTCAATTTTTTACTTTGAGTTACTTTTAACAGGTTCAATATGTTTATAGTTAAAGTTTAATAACATAGTGTCATTTCCTTCCTCCATCCCTCCCTGACACTATCCCACCATCCTTTCTTATACAATTCTTTGTGCCTTTTTTCATTTCTTAAGACAACATATTCTAAACTTATATTACCATAAAAAGGCTTAATACTTCACAGAATAAGAAGCTTAACAAGTAAAAAAGCAAACAGATCTTAGTTTAGTAGGAACATATACAATGACTATAAACAACAATTGAGGGGGTCGGCACTGTGGCACAGTGCATTTAAGCCCCAGCCTCAGTGCCAGCATCCCATAGACCGAGAAAAAGCTTCTGGCTCCTGACTTCAGATCTGCTCAACTCCAGCCATTGTGGCCATTTGAGGAGTGAACCAACGGATGGAAGATGTCTCTCTCTGTGTGCATATTTGTCTCCACCTTTCTCTGTAACTCTGTCTTTCAAATAAATCTTTTTAAAAAATAAATAAAAATAAATATAAAAAATAATATAAAAATATTAAAAAAAATCTTTTTAAAAAGATTTTTAAAAGATTTTAAAAAAAGAAATAGTTGAATGGAAAAATGACCATTTCACCCATATACACTTTTTGTCAATTAATCATAATTTCTTTCAAAGAAATATAACCAATGATCATGTAACATCTAAATATTTCCTGTGTTGCTGCAAGATAATAATTAAGTTCTTCTAGCCATTTCCTCTCAAGAGTTTATGCTTTGATTGCCTGTGATTCTGGGATCTTTTCCAATAAGTCTTGCAGAGTTTCTCTAATATTCTCCTCTAGTAATTGGAGGGTATCAGCTCACAAAATTTATATCCTTAATGCATTTGTGTTGATTTTTGTATAAGGTGTAAGGTGGGGTCTTCTTTCACACTTCTGCACGTGGGTATAAAATTTCCCCAGCACAATTTGATGAAGAGACTGATCTTGCTCTAGGTACTGATTTTAGCTCCTTTGTGAAAGATTAGTTGGTTGTAGATATATGGATTGATTTCTGAGGATTTTGTTTTGTTCCATTTTTATACGTCTATTTTGTGCCAGTACTGTTAACTACCTGGTAGTATGTCTTGAAATCTGGTATTGTGATGCCTCTGACTTTTTTTGTATAACATTATTTTAGTTATGTGTTTCATGTGTATAGTTTCTTGTATTTCCATATGAATTTTAGCATCATGTTTTCTATATCTGAGAAGAATATCATTGGTGTTTTTATTGGGATCACATAAATCTATAAATTGCTTTTGCTAGTATGGAAATTGTGCTGATATTAACTCTTCATATCCACGAACGTGGAAGATTTTTTTCATTTTTTGTGTCTTCTATTTCTTTCTTTAATGTTTTGTATTTTTCATTGTAGAGATATTTCATCTCATTGGCTAATTTATTCTGGGCTATTTATATTTTTTTTTGCTATTGTGAATGGGACTGATCTTACAATTTCTTTCTCAGCCATGACATTGTCTGTGCATACAAAGGGTATTGATTTTTGTGTGTTAATTTTATGCACTGCAACTTAACAAACTTTCTTATGAGTTCCAACAGTCTCTTAGTTGAGTATTTTAGCTCCTCTATATATAGAATCATTACATTTCCAAGCAGCAATCATTTGATTTCTTCCTTTCCAATTTATATCCCTTTAATTTCTTTTTCTTGCCTAATGGCTCTGGCTAAAACTTGCATTACTAAATTGAATAGCAATGGAGAGACTGGGCATACTTGTATTTTTCCAGGATGCTGGCCATGGGTTTGTCATAAATAGCCTTGATTGTGTTGAGGAATGTTCCTTCTATACAAAATTTGCTTTGGGTTTTCATCATGAAGAGATGTTGTATTGTATCAAATGTTTTCTCTACATCTATTGAGATAATCACATGGCTTTTGTTCTTTAATTTGCTCATGTAATACATCACATATATTGACTTGCATATGTTGAATCATCTCTGCATATCAGGGATAAATCTTATTTGGCTAGGGTGAATGATCTTTATGATGTATTGTTGCATTTGATTAGCTAATTTGATTAGCTAATATTTTGTTAAGGATTTTTGTGTGCCAGCCACAGCGGCCATTGTGGGGTGAATCAACGGAAAAGAAAGACCTTTCTCTCTGTTTCTCTCTCTCACTGTCCACTCTGCCTGTCAAAAAAAAAAAAAAAAGTCTTCCATAGCCTAGGCAGCTCATGTTGAGGGCCTTGGGTGATCACTGACGTCACATGACATGTGTACTAACTTCCCATGAAGGACCTCTGTTCTCAAAAGAGCTACAGTATTACCATTAATGGTAAAACTTGATCCCAATGATTTGCTTTTTTCTATTGTGTGATATTATGCATCATAAGTTCTAGTTATGTCTAAGTGTCAAGCTCCATTGCCTGTATTCCTAGGTATTTCTTTAAAGTTTATTAAGTGCCTCAAATGTAAAATCTGGGATACATGTCTCTCTGAAAAATTACTATCTTATATGTTTTAACATAGGGTCAGATTGTGGGGAGCAACTCGGACTAGACTAAGTTACTGGAATTAAGACTTATTCTATGCATTTGCTCTCCCACAATATGGCGCTGGGAGAGGAGTAAACAGCTTTTACACAGCTGCCTCCAGTTCGACCAGTAACCTGCAGGAGCTGATCCTGCTCCTGATTGGAGGAGAGCAGTGTACTCGGCGTGTGGGTAGCAGAGTTGGGATTGGTGGAAGAGGACTATAAAGGAGGAGAGAGACAACATGCACCAGGAACATCTAAGGGAACATCTAAGGGGAACATCCGGACAACATCTGAGCAGCCCCCGAGAGAGCCGGCCGGTGGTGTGCTGCTCCCCCGCGGAAGTGGGGAAAGTGGCAGGGGGCACCGCCCTT